GAGAGAGAGAGAGAGAGAGAGAGAGAGAGAGAGAGAGAGAGAGAGAGAGAGAGAGAGAGAGAGAGAGAGAGAGAGAGAGAGAAGATCCTGTCCCATCGGAACCTGGTGTTTGGCATTTGGCTGTTTTTGCAGTGACGGTTCAGATGGATAGGAGCGGTGTTCTATGCATGAGTCTCTAGGCCTAGGAGACTCGCAGGCTATACATAATGTTTTGAAGAGTGTACTTGAGACAGCAATCTTCATCACTGCACTTGTGGGTTTTTGCAGCACTCTACAGAATTTCAGAAAAGGGCAAACGATTTCACAGTTCACTAGTCAGGCCGAGTAATGTTAAGAAACACGCTCAGCAAACCAACTTATGTTCACAAAAGGGCAACGCAACCTCATCTACTCCTTTGCAGTATGGTATGCTCCACAGAGGTCAGTGGAGCTGAGCTGACTCCGTGGTGTGCTCTCACTATTGCGAGACCCGGAGTTCATGCTTATGCATTTTGAAAGCAGGCTCTGATCGTGAGATTTGAAGGCGATTGAGCAGGAGTGTCCTAAAGCATGGTTCTGTTGCTTCCCTCCATGATGTGGTCTGTGCATCTTGAGTCTGTGTGCAGATATGTGGCCTTGCAACTGGTGGTATGGAGGGACTGCAGGTGTGCAGTTCCTGTGATAGGTCGTTTCATTCACATTGTGCTCCACAACCAGGGTGCCAGGTAGATCAGGTATTGTAATGTGAGTGGTTGTGCCCTCCTTTGGGGAGGATCATTCCTCCTTTTCAATGTTTTCACCCTCCACCAGCTACTTCATTCTCCGCTCCTCCAACGTCCTTGTCATCCTCTGTATTCTTCCACCTTTGCCTCTCTGACTTCATTTATTTGTTTTCTTTTTCATGTCTGTATTCATTCACTTTTCGCTTCTTGTGTAGTTTGCATGTAACTGTTAGGCGCTATGTGATTGTGGTGCTGCGGTTGTGTTCGGGCCCATATCATTCAGCCAGAGGCAAGCTCCACAAACATATTCTTCAACCAAACCCTGGCTGGACCTCATTTCTCTGGCCAAAAGGATGCTGGCGTTATTCTACTGAACAGGGCTTGATCTTGTGACTGGTGCAATCTTATTCAGAGGTTATGGACAATGGAGGCCTTCCTTGTATGCTTTCCAAAGTCATTCTCCAAAGAAAATGCGAACATTATTCTTTGTATGGTTCTCTCGTGTTCAACATGATTTGAGTCTTGGCTGCTGTGTATAGTTGTGAGGGACAAGACATGGGTTTGGCAGGTCCTAGCCCATGTGTTGTTTTAGAAGAGTTTGGTCGCCAACGAGGATGTTGATGACACATCATGGTGCCATATGTCATCAGTGTAATGGGGCTGTTCTTAGTATGATTTGCCATATGTGCGTGTTTCCGAAGAGTTCAGTAGCCGACCAGGAAGTCGATAGTTGGTCCGCTTCTCGTCACGGTGCGAGCTCTCATTGACATTGGCCGTGTCCCATGTTGCCAAGCTGCAGCCAGGAGAACACCGTTTGATGATAGACAATGTTTAGCAGGGTTGTCCCCCATGCATCGCACTGTACTTGTCTCACCAAGTTCTCCGTTTGATGGTAGGCATTGTTTAGCAGGGTTGTCCCCCATGCATTGCACTGTACTTGTCTCACCAATTTCCTTGCCCTCACCATTTCAATGTGAACTTCATGAAGCCGGCGAAAGGATTTGACCTTTTGCATCATGCAGTGGTATGCCATTCTCACAGAAGAAGATGTCTAAACACCTAACCCAATTCCATTTGCAGCTAAAGCTGCCCTGTGGTTGAATGCTACACAGTACTGCACACATGCTATTGATAAATCAATCATGACATCTTTCTGGTATTTGCAGCTTGTTCACCGTGTAATCCTTGATGCTTGATTGACACTGAGCTGTGAGTGATGTTACTGGACAAGGTTGGGCAGCAGAGTTTCTCCCATAATCAGCCTTATCATCTCAGGAGGCACGCATTAAGGTCCACCACTAATATCCTCAGATCTCCTCTCTCTCCTCGTTCCCCCCACCCTCCCACAAATTCCCACCTCGCCCACGTCTCTTTACGTTCGCTTGCCTTCTTTCTGTAGAAACGTTGAGTGGATCGTTGTCCTCTCATGATGCACCAGGAGCAGCGCCATGGCCTTCTACTTTTCCTGCCCGGTAGATACTTCATGCTCTGTAGCCATGCTGGAGTCTGATGCAGCCTTCTGGCCATGAAACATCTGTTGAAGGTTGTCACAAGTCTTCATCCACGTCATGTGCATGGGAGCCAGAGTGTCACTGCTCACAATATTGCGTCACTGCATGCTAGAGGCTTGGATGAAGTGGTTCATTACTCTACCGGCCACTCTGACAGGCCGCTACTGTATGCGGCATGAGGTATGAGAAGTGCATTCCTTCTGACTGCACTTACCCACTACTTTGCGTGGGAGGCAATCAGTCCCTATAAGCCCTTAGCGGAGCATGGAATGAACGTCTCCTCCCCTGAGGCTGATCAGGAGTGTGGCATGTTGATCTCCTGAGAAGAACTCAATATGGGATTTGGTGTGTGTGTGGGGGGGGG